GTGTGCAAATTTTTAACCAGGTCTTGCATAATGTGATAATGAGAATGTTCTGTCAATTTTGATAACATTCTTTTCAAAACCTACTATAGACTAGTGTCACGAACTTACAGTCTCACTAAAGCTCCCGGCGACACTTGACAACTTACTCACTAATCTTTCAACATCTTGTAAGCTCAAATAAACCCTTTGAAACTAAGATTGCTAAGAGAATGTAAGGAAAGACTTAGCAAGCTTTGGAAGAAGGCTTTGTATTACTTATGGAATACTTACAATTTGTTGGATGATTTACAAATGAGGGACACTCTATTTATACTACTCCCTAAAGGCATAAGTGTAGATAATAATTACCTTACAAGTTCCTACAATATTTACACTTGAGTCCTAATCTAGAATTCTCTACAAGTTCTAGAGAATTCTAAAGCCTTTCTTGAAAATATCTAGTCCCTCATCTAGAATTCTCTACTAGTCTATAGAATTCTAAGGCATTCTAGAGTCTTCTAAGGAAAGTAGAGTCTTCCACTAACCTCTCCATAACTCTAGATTTTTCCTCCTTATTTTATGCCAAATTTGAAAGGCAAAGTGGCAGTTATGACACTCTCCCCCACCTATTGATGCGACGACCGTGTCACATTGCTGCATGGACAACTAAGTCTTGTCTTTTCGTATGTGCGACTAGTAGACCATTGACTCTATCAATGCCCTTGTGCAACTCCCTCAGTTGCTTTCTTATCTCTTCTAGCTCGGTTTTATGATCTACCTCCTTTTTAGGAGGCAAGCGTCTTGACGGCTCCTCTGGCATCATGACATTGTTCTCTTCTAGAACCTTCTCCATGCATGGTGGAAAGGACTCTTTAGCACCATTGTCTTCTTTTGAACTTGCAGTGGTGGCTATGAACGTCGGCTCCGCTTTCTTAAGGCCCTTCGCAATCTGTATGGCCGACAATTGGGCATGTCCTTTTACTTTAGCCCTTCGCAATCTGTATGAACCTTCCTGCTCCATGACCATGAGTCGTTGGAGGTAGGGATCGATCATCATATGACACATTTGGAAGAACTCTTGCCGAAGAATGATGTCAAATATATCTAAAGGAGCCACGGTGAAGTTGGTATTACCTTGCCACTTTCCCAACGTGATGCTCACTCCTTGGGCGACTCCACACACGGGTGTCGGAGATACATGGACCGTCTTGAGGCGGGTGTTGCTCGGATTGTAACTTAGCCCCAACCTTGCTGCCGCCATCTTAGTCATGATGTTGGCTTCTGCCCCGGAGTCAACCATGGCACGAGCTGGTCGTCCATTAATGGAGATGTCTACATAGTGCATGCTATAATTTCCTGGCTTCTCCTTCTGCTTGGCTATAGCTCTGCATAGTCCCACCATGCCTAGCTGCGTCGTGCCCGCTTCTTGTCCTTTCTCTTGTGCATCCTTCTCCTTCCGCTCACGTAGGATGACACCAAGGTTCTTCATCTTAGGGCACCTGGCATAGCCATACGGTCCACTGCATATGTAGCAACCATCTCCTTTAGTGGTTTGCGCCTCTCCGTGTAATTTGGTCGCCCGAACCGCTTTTCGTCCGACTTGTAAGAGTCGTGTTGCTTGGGATGTGCTTGATGCTCCTTGCCTTGGCCACGATCTCCCCCACCTTTAGCATGACTAGTCCTTGCGTCTTTCACCTTTGCTTTGCCATGCCTGTCATGCTTAAAGTCGGTCAAAGCTTCAGCTTGTGTGATGGCCTCGTCGATGGTCTTGACTTGTCGCCGCTCCAACTCCATCTTGGCCCAATTTCGCAATCCGTCCATGAAGTGGAACAACATGTCTTCGTCCGTGAGGTTGGGAATCTAGAGCGTGAGAGTGGTGAATTCCTTCACGTACGCCCGAATGCTGCCTGTCTAAGTTGCTCGGACTCGGGTGCGGGTATCCGAGACGGATGCTAATCCAAGAGTTGGATTCAGCAAAATCCAAATTTTAAGATTCGTGGGTGCGAATTCGAGTATGAATACGGATGCGGGGATACGGCTAAATTTTTTCAATATTATAAAAATATAGTTATGAAGATATTATAATGTCTCTTTTCCTATTTTCTTTATACATGTAAATTGTAATATTTCTTCATTTCATTTTCTCTTTTTATATATATATATATGGTATTTCCAACTGGAAAAAAAAACTTTTTTCTAACGTCTCTTTTCCTATTTTCTTTATACATGTAAGTTGGTGAGAATGAAAAGATTTTTTGGACTAGTTGATGGCTGATGGGATGTCATCTTTCTGATGTTACTGTACTTGGAAGACTTTTTGAGCTTTCTTTCTGTCAAGAGGGGTGTATGTAATGTGTACATATATTTTCAAGAAAGATAAAAAAAAGACTCTATATTTCCTTTACTTTTTCAAGAAAAAACTTTCTTTCTTCTATTCTCTTTACTTTTTCAACTTTGTCCTCTTTACGTCGCCGTCGCCGGAAACTGATTTTCTCTTCTTTCTTCTCTTCTTTGTACTTTTTCAAGCTTTGTCCTCTTTACGTCGTCGGAAACTGATTTTTTCTTCCCCAAATCTTTTCTCGGCTTCGATCAAAGTGTCTGGATCGGATTGACCGAATCCGACACGCACCCCGCACCCGCGCCTGCACCAGTGTTGCGTCGAGACGGGTTCGCCTGCAAATATGAATAGTCCGCGCAACATAGCTGCCTGTTTGCTTCAATTCCCTAAACTTGCGCTTGACCTCATAGATGACGTTGTTAGGGAAGAAGGCTTTCTTAAACTTTTCTCGGAATTGCTCCCAAGTGTTGATGGTGCACAATCCCTTCCCTATCTCGGACTCCTTGCGCCTCCACCATAGCATGGCCATCTCTGAAAGATACAACACATAAGTGTTGATCTTGTTTTCATCGCTCTTCACCCGACTACACTTGAAGTAGTTCTCCAAGTTTCATAAGAAGTTCTCCACCTCTTGGGCATCGCGGACGCCTTTGAATATAGGATCCTCGACCCTAACCTCCCTATCTCGGTCGAATGATGTAGATCCTCTAGCTTTCACGCCCTCCTTGAGTGTCTTCATCTCAGCTCTCATAGTTTTAATTGTACTTGGTGCATCCGTGAGCCTGCACTCCAAGGAAGTGATAGCCTCATTCATCTCGAACTCGACACGCTAGCGTCCTTCCAACTCCTTGCGGATGTTGTCAGTCTGCTCAAGGGTGAAGTCCTTGAGAGTCTTGAACTTGCCATAACCTACATTCAAACGCCGGCCTAATATCTCCATGGCCTACCTCGCTGTTTCAACCCTTGCGACCCATTCCTCTCCAGTGGTGACGTCAATGGCCTCCTTACCAAGTTCATCGTCACTTGCTTCGGTGGTCAAAGGTGGGTGAGATGTTAGCGCCTCGCTTGGTGTCGGGTCGAGCAACATTTCCTCACTACTCTTGTGGTGCTTCTTTCTCTTGTTGTTCTTCCATCCACCATCCAGCCTGACATTGGTGGGCGTTTATGTCTCCTTCATTAGTCATTCCCTTAGTAGCAAACTATTGCTCTGATACCACGTTGTCACGGACTTAGAGTCTCACTAAAGCTCCGTGCGACACTTGACAACTTACTCACCAAGAAATTAAATATTAAACAAATAAAATTAACATAAAAAGCGTACCCTAAAAATTTGAACATTATTTTCTCCATTTTTGCTCTCAAATTGAGAGCCAAATTCATATCAAATGGGTGGAATTCTTACCTATCTACTTGAATTTTACACTATTGATTCACAAACACAAACCCAACAAATCTCTATACAATTTTAAATTTATTTCATAAATTCACAAAACCCATTTGTTATTCTTGAAGTTTTTTCAAGCTTATCAATGAAGTTTTTCATTTTTTAATACCCACTATCACCAAAGAATACGCACGAAATCGAGATTTTGAAAGAAGAAATATGGCAAAATGAAAAGAACTAGGAGGGACGTTGATTTGCAGCAAAACGAATGAACTTTGAGAAAATATTTAGGGGTGGGACTGTGTGCGGGGGTGTTAAGAAGAAGAAGAAGGAAAATGGTGGGTGAATCCAACGAAAGAAGGAAAGAAGTGGAATGGATTTAAGAAATTTGGTTCGGGGGGAGGCAGCAGCGACATAGAGTGCTTTGAAGAATATGACTTCCCCTTCTTTCTTAATTTGTTTTAGGTGTTTTCATTTATTTGTTTTTTAAGATTTTAATGTTTTTTTTTCTTATAAATTTTATACAAACTTGCTTTAAAATTCGTGGAATCATGCATCATTCCAAGTCACCAATATTAATGCCACATGTGTTCAGTCAATGGTCAGAGGTGTTCAATATATTGTGTTTCAGCGAGTTCAAGGGTCCAGTTGGCAAAGTCGTAAGTATAAGCGTCTAACATACAAACGGAAGGACCTCCCAGACCATTCCGCCAATTATATATTCTGTCAAGTTTTATGTTAAACGGTCCGAAATAATGCAAAATTAAGAAGTGACTATAACCAACCTTTCAAGCAATTTATCTCTAACAAAATGTTGTAGTAGCTCTTCTACTTCTTAAAATGGATACTGCAACTTAGTTTTCACTTTCTTATTGTGCCGTTGAATACAAAATGTTACATGGGACAATTTGCACTTTTATGGTTTCTTAAGTCATCAAACTACATTTTGTTCATGTCAGATCCTCTTAACATATGAAATGGAATGATTGTACCCAATCCCAATCAGAGAAGATATCACTGAATAAATGATGTAAGTTCATATGTAATTTCTGTTTTTAAAGATAGATTGCAATTTAGATTGAAATTTTTGGTGATCAAATCCATGAAAAAACTGGCAGATGTATAATCTGTTATTATTCCATTAGCGCATCAGACAAGTCTACATACAAATGGAAGGTATGTGTCCTTAAATGAGATGGGTAGAGTAGTATGACATCCATCTTATTAGATACATTTATTGCATCACAATTTTATTGAGTTGCTTCGTTGACGATACATCTTATATACTTATGATTGTTTTGTTTTCTGCAAACTTTTTCCTTTTTGTTGTCAGATTTTGATCAGATTGCGAGTCCTGTCTCTGTTGCACACTTCTCCCTGTACAAGCTCTCCAGAATACTGCTTAAGCACCTTGAGAAACTTGGTTTCCATATGGTAAACTCTGAAAAGCGTGAGTATGGCTCTATTGGCGAGAGGGAGATCTTTATGGGGCATGAATGCATTGCAATCAATGGTGCTGACCATGGTGTCACTGTAACAGCCTCTTTCCTTTCTAAAGGGAAGTATGCGACGAGAGATATTCAGTGCCATTTCCTTGTTGGTACAGACGGTACAGGAAGAAGTGTCAGAAAGTCCTTAGGAATCAGCATGAGAGGTGAAAAGGACTTACAAAAGCTTGTTAGTGTCCACTTCCTGAGCCAAGAGTTAGGGCAGTATCTCATTAACGGAAGACCCGGCATGCTGTTTTTCATCTTTAATAAAGATGCTATTGGTGTTCTTATTGCCCATGATCTCAAGCAAGGGAAATTTGTCCTGCAGGTAAACCTGTTTTGTAATGTGAGAAATTGGCATAGCTATAATATCCACTTGCTCGTATAAATAAATCTAAATCTGTTTGACATTGGTTAACAGCATTTTGATGTCATTGGTAAAAATCTTGCAGGTACCATTTTATCCACCCCAACATAAGCTTGAGGACTTCAGTTCGGAGGTTTTTTTCTATTCTTTCATTGAATTTTTCTGTGTACTCTATTAGTCTAATAATTGCCTTTGGTGGAAGAGAATGAATCAATGGGTTATGTTATCGTGATTCATTTATTTTGTGTACCACAATGTGTGTGCTATGGATGCAGTGCATGATATTTGCCCAATATGGTTTATTTACAATGTTATTCTTTGTACTTTATGAATGGTTGCAGATGTGTAAGAGATTGATGTTCAAATTGGCCGGCCTAGAGCTTAAAGACGTCAACGTGATGGATATTAAGCCTTGGGTGATGCATTTGGAAGTAGCTGAGAAGTTTCTATCTTGTAACAACAGGATAATACTTGCTGGTGATGCAGCTCATCGATTTTCTCCTGCTGGTGGTTTCCGTACGCAATCTGTTTGCACATTTATCATGTTTTTGTTTTGTCAACTTAAAACTTGTAATTGTTACCTTTCTAAAAATTGGTATTATCTTGTCATGTCTTGGATATTATTAAGAATAAAGTTTTTGCGATTCCTTTTCGCTTGGGAGAGTTGGGGGAGGGGAGAGAAGACAAATTAATGCAGTACATTGTTTTTCTGTCATTGATTCGTACAAGACTGCTTCCTAAAATGTTGATGTAAAGGTAAAAATAGCAAAGTTATTTCTGTGGGAGGGAGATAAAAGATTTCCATGTAGCTCAAAATATTGGAGATATAATCAGCTTACGAGAGCATTTGTTGGTTGGAGGACATCTGAACTGCAATCAGGATCTACATTATGATGTTAGTTACTATGCATTGCCCTGGTGATTTTAACACGGTTGATATTGTGTCTAATTATATGTAGAGAACCTGATTGCAATGTGGTAATTTTAAATGACATAATCAATTACGTTTGTAATTGTGTTCCCTCTCTAACCATTAAACCTTTTAGATGAAATGGTTCACACAATTCAATATGTAATCAAAGTGTGTCCATGTTCTTTCTCTAATTACCTGTCTAAAAAATATTTCTGACATGCTTGGCCATGAGATCCTGGGAAACACTTAAAAGGAATTCTAAAGACATAAGGCCACCAATGGGTGTGACATAACGACTAATGAAGTGGGTATGAATTTTGGAGACCAGGGTTCAAGTACCAGAGTGTTCCCATCTATCTAATAGAGTACCTATGTTCGTGGAAAGTAGCAAGTAACCAGTGAAAGTAGCAAATGCAGGTAAATGAAAACCTGAAACTTAATTTTTATTACATCAATATTTCATTAAGACATTATGTGTTTTTGCCTGGAGTACATCGAGCTCTTAATGACACTGTTGGTTCCATTCTGCCATCTGTACTTCAAAGGACAATATTAGATAGAATATTCAGCATAGGTCGTGCACAACTCTCAGTTTTTGTATTGAATGAAAATAATCCACTTGGATCTGCAAGGCTAGCCAAATTGAGACAGATTTTTGATGGACAGAGCCTTCAGCTCCAGTTCCCTGCTGAGGATCTTGGTTTCAGGCTGCGTATCTACTTTTATTATATCAATTTCATGCTAATTGTTCAAGTTGATGTTTCAATTATTATTGTCTAATTCATGGCTCCTATAAGTGCTTTGATGCTGGCTCAACTTTGAATAGAACTCCAAAAAAGTCATCTTGGATGTACACCAGATGATTGTTTCTATCTTAACTATAATCATCCTGTTGGAAGTACTTGTTTTCATTACTACTCTAATTTCGAGATGTTTACATTAGGTATCGGAAAGGAGCATTGGTGTCTGAAGATGATAGTGTGTTGAATATGCATGAAGCACCAACAGGACGAAGAAGGGATTATATTCCTTGCTCGGAACCTGGATCAAGGCTCCATCATATGAATGTTAAACTTCTTTCAATCCAATCAAGCAAGGTATGGACTCTTTCAACGGAACATTGCCTTTGTAGGAGCCAGACTTTGTTAGATCACGGTCTTGTTCGTTCATCTCTTGACACGGGTGGAGAAGCCAAATAACTGAATCAAAAGAGGATTTTCTTATTTATCTCTAGCCTTGCTATTAGATTACAATATTCAGACTTGCAGCCATCGTATTTCAAGTCTCCATTACTATTTCTTTTCTATCAGAATGCAATCTTATGCAGGAAATATTCTCTACTCTAGACCTTGTATATGTAGATAAGGTTAAGTTTGACCTTCTAATAGCACCCATTCAAGGAGTCCTACTGTCTGGCTCGAGCTGCACTAGAGGTGGCCAGCAAATTTAAACTCCCTTTAAAGGTTTGTGTATTGTGGCCAAACGGAAGTAGTGAAAGAGCTGGAAGAACTGAGGCTGCATTGACACCCTGGAAATCTTTTGAAGAAGTTGTGGAAGTGAAGAGGTCATCAGATACGCCATCCTGGTGGGACATCTGTTAGATGACAGACAGAGGAGCCATATTAGTGAGATCTGATGAACACGTTGCTTGGCGTACAAAATCTAGAAATGCAGATCCCATCATGACGATGAAAAACGTTTTCCACGTTGTTACAGGAGTTAATTGCATCTGATAGCACCTTTTATGAAACTTTTACCCCATTAATGTTTGGTAAGGCTTGACATTCCTTCTCTGATATACATTAGCTAGAAACAAGGTTGGTGTACTTCCCTTTCGGATGGGTAGAGTTACCCATTACCTATACTTTCAGGTACTCAATGGAATAATTGAGGTGTAGCAAGTTTTCGGACACCACCAAAACAAGTACCTTCATAATAATAACAAAAGCCAGTTGTGCTGGTCATTGTCATTCATTTAAGTTCTTGAAGTTATAGTTTGACATAAATCTACAGTCATATCTTGGTCTTGAATCAATTTTGTCATTTATTTATTCTGATCTCAATCAAGAAAAAGAATGCTCTATACAAATACATTTTTTGTGGGTTTTAAATATTAAAACATTTGCTGAAACAAGAGAACATTGTCCCTATTGAAAAGGTAATGGAAATTAAGAACTTCTCAACTATTAGCCAAGCAAATCAAATGGTGGATTTGGTTAGGAATAAAAAGAGAATGTCATAAATCCTAAAATAGACTATTAGAAGTGCATTTTATGTAATTCATAATTTCATGAGACAGAAGAAATTCAATAAATATTTTTTTACAGTTTTGTAATTAATATTTAAGGAACAATTAATTATTTCTGAATGCTAATTCAACTCTTGATGCAGTAATCCATTTTTTTCATTTTGGACCTTCCCATTTTTAACATATTTAAATCATATGAATCTAAATATTGCAATTACTAGTTGAAATTGTAGTCTTTAGCACATTTAAATAGTTGGAAGTCTTTTTGTGTTTGATACTTTGATTTTTGTTTTATTTCACTCATTTGCATTTGAAAAAATGTTTTAGAAATATTAAATTTGAAAACAATTGAATTGAACTAATGTTTGGTACACATTTTTCTAGCTATAACCAAAAATTAAACAACGGAAAGGAAGTTCGATAGAAATCTTACAAATTAATCGAACCCTTAATTACTAATACTTAATGTCATTATTCTAAAATTGAGAACTCATAAGGTTCAAATTCTAACCTTCATAAGTACTTCATATATACAGACTATTTATTTAACTTAACTATACATAATCATATGCCGTTATAGCCTTCATGGTGAAACAAAAAGGTTTATTATTCTATTATGTTGGTATTCAAATAATAACTTATTTCAACTTAATCTTAAGCATTACGTACCATCAAAGCATTTTTACTAGAAATGTAGTGAATCAAATTAGAGAGTATCCGCTTCTCTCTCCATTAAATTAAATAACTAATTATTCTCTACAATTTCGAAAATTTCATAAATTTATGGAATATTCATAAAGAGATCATGAAGACATCAAATACTATCTTTCTCAAAGAAATCTCGAATATCACATGAATTCTTGGGTATTTACCAAGATCAAGATCTCGAATATATCAGAACAAGATATGCGAAAGTCTTCTGGATAATCAAATACTTCAAGAAGATCCACAAATACTTTCATGGAGATAAAGTTCAAATCATCATTGTTCGAGAAATACGTTACTAACGACCTTCGAATCACGGAGAAATCAAATCATTCTAGTTCGAGAAATATGTCACTAACGACCCTCAAATCACAAAGAAAATTTAGAGAGAAGAATTAAGGAATAAGCAGATGACCAACAATATTTATCAATAAAACTATGTTTCTTCATAAAAAATAAAATAAAATAAATATTGTTCTCTATTTTATGTTAATTAATTCTACTCAAGCTTATTTACAATTATCTATTCAGGGTTTCAATTTGGGGTTCAATTTGTCTTTATATTATCATTGTTTATTCTATTTTATGTGAACAAAAAAATACAGAATTGAAACATAGTTTAAAACAACAATAAATATTTATGTGATTATAAATTATTTTATTAAGAATATAAAAAAAATATGCTACCAACAATTGATTTATGTACTAAGTTAAGCTATATATCTAATGAGTTATGAGTTAAGAACAAATTAAACATGATTATTTTTCTCAACCGCAGAATTTTCAGATGAATCCCCTTCATCGGAAGAGAAACACCATAACATCATGACAATAAGCAAGGAAGATAGAAGCAAGGCAAGAGCACCCACGATCTGCATAAACTTGTGACCATGACTACCGTCAGGATCAAGAGCATCCGATTTCTCACAATCTTCAAAAAAATCTGAGCTCTTACAATCATCGATCACCTTTTATTTTGTGTTGTTATCTTCATCGACGTTAACAATAAGAGAATTCGTAACAATAATACTATTATTTTTCTAGAGAGGGTGGTGGATGGGAAAGTTACTAGTAATATTATTACTAGTAGTCTAACAAGACAAGAGGGAAATAGTTGTTTTGTCATTAACTGTTTTGTTTTTGTTGCACAATTGTCAATGTTCTAATGAAAAAATGTATTATTTCACATGTATATATAATAGCTAGAGGCTTTACATTGTTTGTGTTGGGTTAGGATTTCCCTTTTCTATTCTTTTTTGGATTTGTTTATTATTATTCATATTCCCTAACGACTATGAAATGCATATTAATCAATTAATATTTTTCACGAAATATTAGACGGAAAAAGTCAGTTATAGGTGAGAGTTAATTAATTATTTAATTTAACTATACATAATATTAAAGGGATAAGACACAAGTATCTCCTGTTTATGACCGAAAATTTCAGAGAAACACTTTAACTAAACTAATGTACTATTATCCCTTCGAACCCATTTTTTCTTTGTAATTTTGTACACCTTTTTGGCTTACGCGTCATACTCCATGACTCCGCGTAGTTAAGGCGCATGGGAGATGTTTGGATGTAACGTAAGCCACTTTTTTGGGTTGGGCTCAAAATAATTTGATTCGGTTCAATCTCAACACATTCAAGCCTTAAATCATTTAAAGAGGATCTTCAATTAAGTCCAATTTAATCTTCAATTTCAACTCGTTTTAAGACTTTTTATTTGCATTAATGTAATGTATGTTCCTATATTGAAGATATGAATTACTATCCATTTTATATCTTCTAGGATTTATCTATTCATTACTAACTTTTTCTTTTTCTTTTTCTTTTTCTTTTTTAATTATTATTATTATTGCTATTACTATTACTATTACTATTACTATTACTATTACTATTACTATTACTATTACTATTACTATTACTATTACTATTACTATTACTATTACTATTACTATTACTATTACTATTACTATTACTATTACTATTACTATT